ATAAATGTTCCATGAACTATTTTTAACAGTTGTACTTTAATATTTTTATGCACAGAATAATGAATTAAATCAATCATTGGTTAATCATTCAAAATCAAAATATGTAAAATATTAATGTCTAATGTCTTTTTGAGGTGTGTGTGTGTGTGTTTATATATATATCTGGATATATATAACGTTATATATATGCATATAACTCATAATGTATTAAATATAATTACACTGTTAGAAATGTTCTTAAATTTCATTACATTTTAAGTTACACAATTTAAAATTAATTTCATAACATTACATCAAATTTAATGTATTTATAATTAAAAAGTATATGTGTACATATACATAAAATTTAATGTATTATATTTTTCATGAAAATTTATGAAATTTAATGTACTTTTCATAAAATTTTATTAAAAGTACATTAAATTTCATAAATTTAATGTACACGTTCATTACATTTAAGTAGCTACTGTAACTTAATTTTCAGTTAAATCATTCATTACTTTTAATTTCGTTCATAACCACAAGCTTCATTTATATGTAAAGGAAGCTCGTGGTTACATTTCTAATAGTACTATATAATAATCTTTCATATAAGAGGTACATAAGTAAGCGAATATCGACATAGGAGTTCTGTGGCTCAGTGGAAAAGAGGCGGCCTCGTAGAGCAGACTTGGAGACCTCGATTCGAACCTCGACAGGAGCGGAGCTGATTTTCTCGTGCTATCGATTATGCCTTACGACGAGTAATTTCGAGTGGTGAAAACGTACAATGTGAGTGACGAGTGCTAAATGAGTATTTTGCATTCGTATAAGTTTTTTCACTCAAATTTACGTTTTTACCACTCAAAAATACTCGTAATGTATACGTTTTTACCACTCAGATATACTCGTGTCCTGCATGAGTACAATCCGTTTTAACCACTCATTTTTACGGAAAAGTTCCTGTTTGCGACCTAAAAACGGAGTCGTACTCACTGAGTAAAATGCACGTTTTCACCACTCAAATTAACCGTTCGCGCGGGCTAAAAACAGGCTAAAAACGGTGAAAAATTTTTATAAGGAATTCGCCTCGATATGATGTTAACAAGAATAATGTAAGAATTGCGAAATGCCAAATGAGATGAGCTTATTGTAGAAAGAGAAGGATCGAATGAATATACTAAACTATAAAAAGGATATGAGTGAACGTGGAGAGATTGAGTATACTAAAATTATAAAGGGGGGATATGAGTGGACGGATCTTAGTTTTTGATAAATTTGCAATTGAAATTCAATCAGTTATAGTATAGAAATTTTGGCTCGTGAATAGCGAAATATGAGAAAGTTGAGGCACACAGTGTCGTAGTAAAGCATGTACTGAGAGAGCTTATAGTGCAAAGCGGCAAAGGATTCCGCACAAAACTTGAAAATGACTGGTTTTTTTGTTATAGTTTAAAGTTTTATTTTATTAATGCCTCAAAATCAAGTTTCTGAAAATAAATCAAGAAATTTCATATAACAAAATGCCATTCACTCTCATCCTCTGCACTCTCTCCACCCCCACTCCATCTCCACACACATACGCCTGCGCGCGTATTTTTATATAAAAGGTACAAAGATTTAAAAAATTTTTTATTTTTAATATTTGATTATGTGTATACTGTGAAATATTTTATTTGATATTTTGACCTTCTTGCTATGTTTTTGTAAGTTTGACATTTATCTCGTGAAATTTACCCACATCTCGATTCCATAATGAAAAATAACATGAAAAACAATAAAGATAATGTAACAAGTTCTGATTTATCAAAAAGGAAAACAACAATAATCTGAAAGCTTCAATAATAATAATAACAAAAAATAATGACTTAATAAAAAACCTATATATATAAATAATAAATAATATAAATAATATAAATCTATAAATAATAAATTCATTATCGTACTGTGGCATTTCGCTATTTTATGAATCAAACAATTTTTCAATCGACTCCATTTACGTATTTATTTATCTTTCTATTTATCAAATTATTATCTAATTTGTAATACTTATAAATGACAAATTTAACATTTAGTAGCATTTTATTTAAAGCAAATTCTTAATTTGTATACAGATGATTTTCTTATCTTGCGATTCTTGAGAGTCTGCAAATTCAATCTAGAGAAAACTAAAACCAGGATGCGAAATTATTATAAGCTGCGATCTGACTTACCCGAATGGTTTACAAATACAGATCCGTTTCAACCGGAATTACAGGAGTTAATTAATATGGGGTAAAAATTGCCATTTCGGAATATTATAAATGCACAATTAAAAAAAAATTTCTATTGTATTATATTATTATTATTATCGGTGAAATATCGCATGTCATAATCAGGTTCTTTAATCATTTACCGTGTAATTTTAGAAATTTTTATACTATAATAATTGATAATTATCACTGACTTTTTTTTTAGTAACACAATTACAGCATTCCGTTTAATCGTACATCGTTGATAAAGATTTAATTGTATGTTAATATATGTTCATTATAATTCATAAATAATAAACTATATGTTTTATTAATAATTTTAATTTGATTGTAATGAGTGATTGTAATGTTGATATAATGAGTGATGACATGAATTTCACTTTACCTTTTAATAATTCTAAATATACATATATATAACTACAGATAACTTTACAATAAATCGCTTTAATGAAGACAAATTTAATTTTAGTGTCAAATTGCCTAAGTCTTTGTCAGCTTTGTTTTATTATTCCTATTATGATTTAACAAAAATATTTTATTAAATATTTTACTAATAAATAAGATCTTCATATCACAATTACGTATATCGTTGTAGAACTAAAGGTAAATATTCATTTATTCGATTTCTGAAATGAATACTTTATTTACGTTTAGGTTGTTTTTGCCCCTGCGGAAACCAGATAGTCAAGGCAGATTGGTTGTCATTATGCGCACTACTTTACATAATCCCAAAATACACAAATTATCAGATATAATTAAGGTAAAAATTAAAACAGCATTAAGATTGCGAATAACTTACAAATAATGTGTTTGAGATGTCATTATGAAAAAAATAATTAGTGCTCATTATTTTTCGACGAATAATCATTTCAGATCAGTGTGATGTTGACAGAGCTGGCGATGAAGAATTGCGCCATAGCCACATCAGCATCTGTGTATGGTTGCACATTGATCAATGACTCGATTAACCCAACTATACATCACTTTTTTCAATTTGGACCTTCTATATTAAAGAAAATAGCACATGCATGGCAAAACTGCTATCCTATGAGGTTACAGTTGATAAATGTAATTAATGCGCCAATGTTTTTAGATATTAGTTTCAAGATTTTTAAATCCTTCATGTCGGAGAAGATGAACAAGAGACTTCACGTCTATTCACACATGCTGCAGAGTTGTTTTAAGGATATTCCCGCTAACATCTTGCCAGTCGAGTATGGTGGTACTGATAGTACAATTCAGGAATTAACAGGTAATTACGATTAATTAAAATGGAATAAATATGTGACGTGTTCTTAGTGAACGAGATGTTTCTTGTCAATCAAGTATTATCGAAAAAAAAAAAGGAATTTCTCACAAAACAAGCAATTGCTTAGATAACCATCATTAATAGTTAAGAATTTATCAGATTCTCAAATGTAAATGAAATACTTGTTTAGACTTTAGATTAGCATAAGCATTTAATTCAAAATATGTAATATAACATTTACTTTTACAGAATATTGGAAGAAATTGATTGAAGAGAATCGCGATTGGTTTATAAGTAATACAAATAACTAAATCGAATAATATTTGGGAGCAATATCTTTATTATTATAATGTAATTGCGCTTTGTTCGTTTTATGTGTTCCGCGAGAAAACACATTATTCTTTCTTACTTATATTCTTTGTTACTTTGTTGTTAGAATTCTGTCAGTTATATAATATGAAAAAATATATATGGAAGTATTGTTGGAAAAATAGTAGATGGTATATATTATTAAATACATAACAGGAACAAAAAGTTCATTCTTTTAGAAAAAAGAATCTAATTATATATATTTTTGTATATTCATTTCAATGTTTGTTTTGGATGTATAATTAAGATACAATTACATGTATAATATACAAATAATAATATGCTTAACTGTTTCTTTTTATATAAAAAATTATATTTATTGTGTTTATTATTTTTTTTAAACTTTGAAGATAAAGAGACTAAATAAAAAGTATAACGATTAATCTTTTTTATGATTTAATTGTTACATTTTGTAAAAAATAATTACAAATCTTATATTATGTAAATAAAAAAACTTGTTTTATTCACTTGAAATTTAAAAATAGTTCTATTCAGATCATATATTACTTAACTATTAACAATAACATAAAACGCTCGATAATTTGACAAAGCAAACAATAGAAAACGACCAAAACGACCAAAAAGTTAGATTATAATAAAAATACATTTGAGATATAAAATCACTCAATTCTCATACATAATACGTTTCGACTATACAGAATCTTCAGTTAGCATATAATTAATGTAATAATCTCATGGTAAATTAAAAAACTAAACTCACATCATAATTATATCATAATCGGCTAAAGTGTCACCCCACCATGTTCATAAGATTATCGTCATGATGTTATACGATATAACTAAATCCTCGTTCAAGGGCGAGAATCCCGTTAAGTCCAAAGAGAAAAATCAAATGGTAAAAGAACACTGAGAGAAAAGATTTTGTTATAGGAACAAATCAAGGGAAAGCAAATGTGATATTTGTTAAAAAAACAGTCGATTTGTTACGATTGAAAATTAATTCGTCAATGTAACAAATAATCAATAGTATCGCTAGCAAATAAGAGGCTCCCCGGGTAGAATTTTAAAAGGGGGCACGTACAGGCCCTAGATAGTTTTTCCCTATTTCTGTCTAGGCCCCATTCAGGCAAGTCCGATTAGGGCCTGTACAGAGATGCAACGCTCGTGCAAATCAGGGCCCGATTTGTAAATTTGATTAGGCCCTATTTGGATATGCCTAACTAGGCCCTATCTGGATATGCCTAACTAGGCCCTAT